ACGTAAACCTGGAGCCTGGCGGATTGGTTAGAGGGTTGTCGGACCGCAGTTTTCCCGCCGAAATTGTCGAGGCGGCTCCAGTCGCCGCCATGGGCCAAAGCCCTTCATACCCCAGGTCGAACCCATCAACTTCTTCCAGCTCGACCTATACAGATAACGTAGCAGACAAAGAGACACTTGTAACAGCCACAGCTGCGGTGCAACATAAAGCGCACCCACGAAATCCCGTGCTGCGTGCTCGCCATACGCCAAATGTTCTGAGAGAACATTTCAGGCTCTAAAAGGGGAATGGGAAAGTTAAACCAGAGCTGGCTCGTTTTCAGCAACCGACACCGCTTGCTTTAGTTGCATCTTCACACACTCACACACACACACTTGCCGAAATGTGAGTCTAAAGCAATTGCCGATAATTCTTGCAGACCCCAAGTTGCTTGACTGTGGCGACGGCCCGTAAAGCAGGGGAATAAAACCATACATGAGCCAAGAAGCCACACCAGCTTTACTCTTCAGCATAAGGATATCCACTGGGAGGCCCGAGTCTGGAAGTGCAGCTATTGATGCTGGAGACAAAGTCGCCTGTTCAGCTTTTGCCAGCTCATAGCTAATCGAGTTGAAATTGGAGAGCGTGGGCGCCAGCGCGGATTTCAACGGGGACGCGATACCGTCTGTTGCCTCAAATATCTTCGTAATCTCCAAAGCATATGCGAGGAAAAGTAGGAGTGCCGCCAGATAGAGCAAGGAAATGACAAGCTGGCTAACAGGCTGCCTTTGCTTTAGCAGTTGCTGTACTTCCTCTACGTTTTTGGCTGATTCCTCAAATCGAATGGGAAAGAGCCGCCTTCTAAACATCTCCCTCCTCAAAAGTGGAGTTTGGTCCCTAAGTACATCTCCGAGACTAGTGGGGTGTGGGTCTCCCAAAAGTAGTCGTTTTTCTAGAGACCTCCGCTTCGCCCTGTTCTCTTCCCGTGTACGGGGGGTCATGTGCGGTGGCACTGGCGAATTACATTGTTTGCGCTCCCTTAACAACGCAGCCGTTGCGGTTTCTGTATCTCTTGCTTGTAGGGGATTGTCTGTTAGGGAGGAAACCACATCTTGTACTTCCCCGTGGGGGCTAGTCCAAGTCTTTTGCGCCATCGAATGTAGTCCAGACAAACTACAGTAGCAAACTCCCGCGAATGTAGGAGTGGGTGAAAATAAGGACACACTGCATACCGAGGCGTAGAAACAGTGAAATGATTGCTGAGTCGCCTCATTTTTCGTACGCCATACTAATCAGTATCTGCTGACGACACTGCTGGATCGTTCGGCAGTGTCCCATGGGGTTCAGGCTCTCTGGCCCCGGAAAGGGCTCAGCAAGAAATGGTGAAATCTCGACTGTTGATAAATATGGGAAAACGATGTTCCATATGTTTTCTGCTGGGGTAGTCAGGGAGTAGGAAAACTTGTGGCCCTCTCCCAGCGGCTGCCGACGGCGAACCGGTCACCTGTCTGTGGTAGTGCCCAGTGAATGCCGCCGTGTTACACTGCAGCTAATGCGACCAGTAGAACTGGGGGGAGCTGACAAATAACAATTTTTATGCATTGATGAGACGCTGCAGCCTAAAATTTTTGACGCTCCATTCAGTGTGAGCAGCGCAAAAAATGCGTAGTAATGTGCTGGCAAGCAGCAGTGCCAGACCGGCTAAAACCAGGTGCTCTGCAGTCACTTTGACAGGTTCCAAGGAAACGAAATTTTTATACCAAATATATTTATCGGATGTTATCCGTGAACACTGAAATTAACCTCTCGTTGGGCACCCACGACCTGCCGTCATAGACTCTTCATTGACGCCTTCATCGAGGCATCACCTAGGCTTTGGCCCTCATTGCTGTTTCGTGCCCCTCGCAGCTCTCTGAATCCGCAGGTTTCGGTGCGCCAGAACCTCTGAAGGAATCTTGGGAGTTGTGCGAGTCCATGTCGAAGTTAGATTCGTTTCGTTCGATGCGTTTGAGGCAATGCTTTGGTGAGCAAGTGTGGCTTTCAGTGTGCTCCGGAATTCAACTTAGAATGGCCTTTCACTGAGGTGAAATTGCCTGGAAGGGAAGCTGCTTCAGGGGTGCTCCCCCATTCAGTTCCCGGTTGTGATGTGCATGTGCTGCCTACCCTCGAGCCAAAACTAGCCCAAGCATTCGTGGTATCTAGCTCAGTCTTCATCCGTCAGTTTACTTCCTTGGTCACTATCTTAACGGTATTCTCGTCCAACATTCCTGTGTTCTGAAATGGAAAAGGTCNGAATTGTCGGTATATACTCAATCCAGCTCTTTACCCTTCACTTAAGGGAGCTTTTCAAAGTTCTTCGGCAATGGCGTTGGCAGTCAATGCTCTTCGCAATGCAGCAGCTGCCTCCGCAAAGCCAATGCTTGACCACCGTCGCAAACCAGTAATCCCTCATCGGTGACACTTTTGTTATATCATGCCTTGCCAGCACAAGACAAATGACGCGTACAATCTAGGCATGAGAAGCGTTTGCGCTCTTCACACGTTACTTTCGTTTTACTAAAAGAGAAAATGCCTCGAGCCAAAAGTGCTGCCACATATGTGGTGCATCCTGTTCACCACTTGTGCTGCTTCCGGCGCTGCCTGGTCAACACGGGTGCTACGCTTATCCGCGTGGTCCAGCTGCCGTCTCAACAATCCTTGAGCATTCTAGCTTTACGATTCTATGCGACGAAGCGTAAAGAACATAGAGATACACGCCGCCAGTTCTATGCACTGGCATGCGGCATGTATTTTTACCTCATAAGTCGCCGACAAGCGCTTGAATCGATATCCCTTCGCTGTTTAGAACTTGTTCTACGCAGTGTAAGGCCTTGGTACTCTCTTCTAATTCCTTCTTTAACAAGACAGCGTTGGAGGTCTTCGCCGTGTGGCCCTTTTTTAGCTTCGGTTTGGACTTTTTTTCAACCATTTTGCCGCTGACTTCAAAGACCAGGGCGCCACTCAGCATTTCAGCTGTGGAATCATCGACTCCTATGGTGAAGCTCTGCATACAACAGAGCCGGGAAATGTCGAAACATGAATTCCATTTTCTCTCATACTGTTTTTCTCGTGAAAGGCAAAAAATCAGCTGAATATGATGATGGCTGCTGAGCGTAGTCTATGCGTTTGCTGCCCATGATGGCCTGGGGAAGAGCCTGCAGGCTGACAAACCCTTGAATTGTTGAAAACAGGATTGCGGGAAGCTTGTTCTAAGGATATCATCGAAACATCTGTCTCCCCGTCCAGCCAGCGGTACATAATCTGCATCGTAGAAGGCTGCACGCTGCGTACATTATTTATGCTCAAATACTTCTCAAACGTAAAGCTGCTGGCTTTGCAACATTTCCGCATTAGCCACTCTAGAAAACGCCTATCTTCTTGCCTGAGGGTGCTTGCAAAGCTTTTCTGGCAGATCCTTTGCCGAGTGAACCGTTATTGTAAGGGTCATCTCGTGACCTTTAATGTCTACTACTGATTGAAGAGCATCTATGTCCACTTCGTCCTCAATGTGATCCTGACTGGCGGCTCAACAACAATAGCACCGGACAATTTCCTCTCATTACATTGCTTGATCGTACCTTGCGAAATATTTGTGTGTAAAGGGGCGAATGATGAAAATTAATTAGAGGACGCTGCGAGCAGCCCTAGCCTGCCCTACTCAATTTGTGCAATTTATGCTGTCGTACCCGTCAGCTTCGTCGGAGTTCGAGGTAACTTCAATCCCAACGGAAAGGGTAAGCTTGCCGCACACTTTCCCGTTAGCATCAATGATTGGGAACACCTCTGAATCAATAGGCAAAAGGCAGCGAATTGTATCAAGGTACAGGTAGGTCTCCCCAATTACCTGAAATGCACGTAACGAAAGCTCGCTTCAGAGCAGAAATTGAAGGGAGCAACATTTCGTAGACTGGGCTGCAAAAGAGGCGCTGACGTCCATGTATGCCATCAAATCGCTTGCATGTTGAATGTATGTCATATTATGTACCCTTTCTATAGGCATATATATATATATATATATATATATATATATATATATATATATATATATATATATATATATATATATATTATATGCAGCTTCAGCGCAGCCTTTCTACTGCGTTGCGCTCACCTGGTAGCTATCCATATCCAAAGCGAAAGGATCTGTTCCGCCCTCTTTTATATATGATTCTGTCCTTGGCCCAGCCGCCCATTGTGTGTACAGTTCCCTCATTTCGAAAACCTTTTTTTCGAACAAATCCAAGTTCCATAGCTGCACAACATCTGAGTCCACTCTCTGCACGCGGATTACGATCTCTGTTTGTTGTAACGATGTTCCGATTAGGGTGCTCCTTAGGCATCCAGCGCTCCTTAACTTGGTGTTTAGCTTGAGCGAAAAGTAAACGCCCACTCCAAGTTCCTGGGCATATCCATTAGCCTCTTCTACAAGCAGCGCTGTCTTGCCTATGACCTCTTGCAGAAAAATATGAGCTGCCCTCTCAGCATCTTGCCGTTTTGCCTCTTCACTCTGTTCCCTCTCCAATAGCAAGCGCCTTGCCCTTAGCTCGTCTTCTTTTCTGCCTAATTCCTGCAACATAGCTTGTTTTTCAGCGGCAACCGCCTTCAGTTTTCTCTCTGCTTCAGCTTGGTCTTCTTCACTAGCGAGAACGAGAGCTTCCTTATCCTTGACCCTCCTAAGTAGGTCCTTCTTTTCAGATTCGAAAAGCTGTATATCCGCCTGTAACTTTTCCCACTTTTCCTGGTATTTTAGATCAGCCAGCTTGGCCTGCGGGGTTTGTTGAGTCGCGCACTCATCAATAACATCTTTCGTCACCTCTCTCATTCCCTCTTCCCACGACGGCAGTGTCTTGTCCATATCCGTTGGGTCAACGAAGACGTACATATTGTTATGTCCGAATATTACCCTATCCTTGTGTTCCAAAAGCTTTGACTCGTTCTCCCCAAGGATAATTCCGTTGATGGAAGTCTTCCCATGTGCGGTTAGCACCACTTCATAAGCTGTTTCACCGCTGTCGTCTCCTGCGTCTTGAATATGTCTTACATCAATGACAGCGTGCAGAGGAGATACTCCAAGCCCACCGATGCGGAAATTAGGCTCATTATTCCCCCCAGGCTTCCCAATGGTGCTACTTCCTTCCTGCAGTGCGAAAACGATCTTTCCGGATAGCAACGGGTCTTCATTGAGGTTGCTGAGATAAGGTAGCGTTAGTTGTTCTGTATCCCAGACTTCTACACCTGTGGGTCTCCTTTTTTTTGCGGCTTCTAGCTTATCTTGCCATGACATTGTCATTTCTTGTAAGGCCCTTCTGTTCGCCTCAAGTTCCTCTTCGTATTGTCTTCGGAGTTCCTCCACCATCTGCGGGTCAGCCGCTGCACCCGGCGCGGTATCTGGCAAACCGCCACCCATAGCCTACAGGCACTCGCATATTACATGTAACACGTTGAACCAAGTTGCTACTGTGATAATGAGATGCAAGTTTTTGCATGGCGGTGATGCTGTTGGATGTGCTTAGTCATGCGGAAACCTCAGCCTATGGCAATAACAAAAATCGTGTCCACAGGCGTATTGAAGGCAGGCAGCAGAAGGGAGAGGAGTGTTTCTAACATCATGTCAGAGGAGTATTTGTAACACCAGGACAAGGCTCTGTGGAGAGCTGAACAAGCTTCTGCTTGTCTGCGAAAGATGGAATAAATGACGCACGGTCTTCAGCCTTTCGTTTTCTTCTCGAAGCTCCCGAATAAGCTTCTCGAGGGGGTTCTCATTCACAGTAGCTTCGTTTTTTATTTGCTTGACACGATCTGAGGTAGCGTGGAGTTGCAAAAAGATGAGTTGCAAGCTCTGTTTTTTCGAAGAATTTTAAGCAAAGCCGCCTTACTGCGCAGCTGGGACTGTTCGGCTTTACCACGAATGCCACAAAATTTAATGCTGCACAGGAGCTGGTTACCTGCGTAGCGGAGCGTGCTCAGGGTTTCTTCATAATTCACTGTGGCTGGAGATAAGGCTGCAATCATGCACGTCTTGCTGTTGCCACCAAGAGCCGTCTGCAAGATGCGGGTGAGAGCAGAGTCCCTATACGGCACAACCTACAGCCAGAAGAAATGCATCTGAGATGATCATAAACGAGAGGAAAAGCCCTCTTGGCTCCGTCGACTTTAGGCGAGTGCAAAACACATATCTCGCGCGTTCCCGCTAGCGACGCCAGGAGTTCAGAATGCCACGATCGCTCATGATGCCCCACAAAGAACTGCGCTACTCGTAGTCAGGCCTCAGAGGCATTTGCTGGCGACATGAAGTGCTTGAAGCACTGGCTGAGTGTTCATTGTTTTGGGGGAGTACTCCACTTTTCAAATAAAACCAACCGTAGTGTTCCGGTCGAATTAGGCAGGAGTGCTACAGCTTGCAGACGAGCGGAAAACTCACTAAAGAGAGGATGAATCGGCCCCTTTAACAAATTGTGCTCAGCTTTACAGGTGGGACACTTTCCATTATTAGAGGTACTTCGTAGTTTCCACTGGTGCACTTGTGGATGCGCAGTGCAGTACTTAGCTTGGAGGCTTGGAGCCTCAAGTGTGCCTCTCACCTGACCCGGTTTGAGCTTCCCAGCTGCTTTGTCCGCAAGAGCAGATATGACGTTTCCTAGAGCACTCAGGCTCTGATTAATAGCACATCCTTCTTTCAAACGGTCACCTGTTGCACCCGTAGACCCAGCCCTTTCACTCCCCGCAAGGTCCACCAAGCTTATCTCCGAAGATTTCTGTGAAACTGGCTCTCCGCTGCCAGCTGCAAAACCCCACACATTATGGAGAGCGCATTTGCTGTCACGGCAGTTTCAACTGTCACAACAACTGAGGAGAATCTTATTCTATGGAAAATACGATGGAATTCGTTCTCAGTTCACTCCCGCAGCTAGCACCAAAGTAAGCGAGTAAGAAGATCCGTATGAAAACTACTGCTGATTCCATTATCCAGAGATTGGCGCAGGTCTGCATGTCTGTTAACCATTAGACCTTCATGCAGGCCTTCTGGAAATGTCTCGTCCTCCAGTAGCGAATTGTACTGCCTGGCCTGCCTCGCCGTCGGGGATTCACTTGCGCAGGGAAGCGTCGACGCACCGTCTACGGTAACTTGCCGAAAGTTAATTTGTAGCACAGTATGTGCACGCGATGATGTCGCATTCATGAGCGTCGCTCCAACCGTCCGATTGGCTGTTCCTGCAATTGCAGTCAGCCAAGCTAGCCGGCTGCGCCTCACTAAAGCGTTAGGTGTTCTAAACATTCACATTCACATCCGAGTTCACGCATACGGATACATCTATAGGGAGGAAGCTTTAATGCAGTCTCTGTCGCTTCGTCGTATCTAGACGAGAATTGTTAGCAGGCTTTTACTTCACTTCCATACTATGGGCGCACGGCCCCTACGGAACCAGAAGCAGTGAGAAGGTTCACAGACATCGTCTACGCGGCTGATTCGAAACACGCGTGGTCCCCACCTTCATCAAGCTTTGCTTGGATAGCAGCGTACGAATCAACAGGGCATTTTGTGAGGTCTTGTACAAACGTCCCCAGCTGTGGGGTATGTCTGATTTTGAGGCCTCCCTTGGGCCTTTTTTCTATGGGCATCAAAAGGTCCTGCACCTGTTCGTTATATATTTCAAGCATGCTGATTTGCACCTCGGCTAGTAGATTTGGGTCTGTATTTGCACCGATACGCGCGAATATCTCCTCGCATGCACGCACAATGATGCCTTTGTTTGCTCCGTATCCAACCATAGAGTAGCTCTTCCCAGCCCCAGTCTGGCCATAGGCAAACAGACATGCATTGTAGCCTTCGTAAGCGTTGTTGAGCACATCCTTCCCAATTTCGTTGTACAAACGTTGCTGATCTGCGTATTTCGAGCTAATGGGACGGGAGTAGCCTGTTTCGTCGTTTTCAAAGCCATCGTGGGACCAGTAGGAGTAGTCAAAAGAAAATGTTTTCTTCCCGCCCTTGGGATCTTCGGCGTTGTCAATTGTTGTGGCCTTCCCCTCCATACTAATGCAGAGCTGCGCGTTCATGTTTTTCTCACGGTCATTGAAGGGCCGTACACGAACTGCCACTTTAACTGACGACATTCTCTCTTTTCCTTCTGTGAAACGCTCTTATGTTCTTATGTTGCTTGAATCTCAAGGCGCAGAAATGGGCTAAGCACCTGGTTTTCTGGTGAGAGGCAGCACCTCCCGCCTGGGCTCACACGAACGAATTGACCGCCAGTCCAGAATGGGTAAGTTTCCCTACTGTCTCAAGATACTTTTAGCAGATATTTATGGTAGGCAACCAGGTGGTCGGAGTATTCTTGACCCCCGCCTATACTTTCCGATGGATCGGTCCACGCCAAGTGACCCTACGAGTGTTCTCAGCACAACCCGCAGTGGACTTGGCATCCGCCTACAAACGCACAGCATAGCTGCTTGTCCAGCTTCCTAACCTTTTCGCCTATTACGGAATAGCGATTACAAAACAAGCTCCTACGGGCGGCCACAATCGGCGTCGCGTCTCCGTTCCGGTGCGCAGTGGAGGTGTACGCTTCAGGCGAGCGAAACAAACTGCAAGAATATTTCAAAATATGCATTTCACCGTAGTCCCTNGATGAATTTCACTGACGAATGGGAGCCTACAAGTAGCTGTAACGTGTGTTTTTGCTCCGTGCTGAAAGGCCGCCAATGCACACTTGGTAGCGGGCGCCTACTGAGCTTCAATCAGCTGATAAATAGGGTAACAAAACAATGTTTACATTGTGCACTTGTTTTACTGACAATCACCGCCCCTCGGTTGGTCGTAAGGAGCTGCCGTCTAACAAGCGGCCTACCTATGATGAGTGCTCGATTGGGACAGTTCAACCTTCGTGTATAGACCAACATCCTTTTCCCGCAAGTAAAAACCAGGGATGCCGTGTTCCTCAATGTACCGATGAGCAAACAGCGATTCCGCGGCCTAAACTAGTCATTGGGAGCTCATGCCGCTTGCACGGCACTTGAAGACCCCGCTAAAAAGGACTTCTGCGCAAGTACCTTCCGCAGTGCCTTTAACAAGAAATGTCAAGCCCCAAGAGTAGTACTCGAACAAGCTTGGATGATATGAGTGAAATCGTAAGATGCCTTCACTTAAGTGCCCCCATAGACTTCAAGGGTCCATTACAACTTNCTAGGGGGCTCACAGTTGCCTCTTGGTTCCCAGAATTTTTAACGCTTATTCGTAGCTTTACGGCATCGACTTGGACCTCTACAATAGTCTACGTTTTCGTCTAGAACCTACCTCAAACGCCCGTACCGCCCTGCAGAGTTATCACCGGCTTCGTCCCAGTCGCTCTCCATTTTCGAAGTGAACAATCCAAAGAAATCTCCAGCTCACTCCATAGGAGTCAGCCTTAGAAGTCAAGGTCTTTGCCACTGAGATAGGCCCTCAACGGTAAAATGTCTCGCTCTAGCTGGATTTGCAACCGCATTCCATAATTGGCATGAAACTCGCGATTTGTCGGTAAAAGTCATTTATCGCACGCGAGAAGCTCCTCATGTAGCGCATCAGCGACATGTGGAAGTAGCTCTTCCAACGTTAGTCTTTACAGAGCATTAAGTAGTTGGATTTTAAGTATCCAAAGAGAGAAGAACTGCACGCAATCGAGCTGAATGTACGTGCCTTGCAGTGCCCCTGAAAATAAGTCTGCAACAGCCGAGAGCTAGAACGTAAAATAGCAGCTGCAAACTCGACTTTTGTCGTACTTCAGGGCCCAGGCAATTCGATGACAGTTGTGTTGATGAGGCTGAAGTCGTTCCACGTTGTTTGCCCCTTTCTACAGGATAATATATTTTAAACTTATCAGTGACGACCTTCAAGCCTGTCAGTTTCTTGTAGATCACCCTCCATTCGGGACTCGAGAATATTCAGCTCCCGCTTTTGTAACTGGAGTTCCCCTTCCCTGTCTTGCAGTGCCTTTTCAATGTATTTTATATAAGCTGTCAGCCTCTGCTGCCCATTGACCACCTGAGAAGTGTAAACTGACAGTTCATGTCGCAGATGGCCCTCTTGTTGGGCTACTTCGTGCGAAAGCCTGAAGACTTCTGTGTACGTCTCGTTCTCTAGCTGGTGGAGGAGAGAAACCATGTTGCCGCTGCCAAGGCTCAACTGAGTTGCCATCGTGCGGAACCTGTCAATAAAGAAAGCTGCTTCTTGAGCTGCATATACACGAACTTCATCTGGCAACGCAGCATATTGCTCGTCGGATAGGGCACTGGTGACCACATCGGGAGGCAGTTCCACAACTTTCAGCGGCTTCTCCCTTCGCCTCCTTCCGGCCTCCTGTATCTTTCGCAGCTCATCTGCCTCATCTTGTTGCTCAGTGGCCGTCGCCCTTCCGAAATTCATTGAATCTTCTTGTTCCTGCTGCTGCTGCTGCACTGCTTTCTTTGAACCAAATTTGCAGAGAAGACCCGCAAAAAAGATACGCACCGATTCAAGTAGTGAACGATGCTCAATCTTCCCAAGCCTCTCCATTTCTTTGATTTCAGCTGAGCGGAACGCCAGCGATCGGAGCAGAACGCACAGGAAGAAACTGAAACAAATCACGCCCATGAAAAAGAGATAGGGGAAAACAAAGGCCCCAGCTATGAGACCATTCGCGTGGAAGAGTTGCGATAGGGGGTAAAAACCCGTTGTGAGCATAATCGTGGAAATAAAGGAATCCTTGAGAGTTGAGTATGCCTCCAGCTGGTGTCCAAATGATAGAAAGCATAAATAAGAGAAGCCGACGAATACAAGTATCGTCCCCATCAAAACCTGGATCATCTCTTCCGCTGCAGAAGCAAGCGCGAAGAACATAAGGGTTACCCGTTTGC